GCGACGCCAACGCCAACGCAACGCCAAAGTTTTATGTGGACGGGCCTGTAATTATTTGACTTTCGCTGTCAGCGAATGGCGAGAAATATGTGAAATGGTGAATATGCGCCATAAAACATTGCTTCAAACCAATGCAAATAAATACGTACATATAAACATACACATACATACAAACAGCAACTTAATGCGATGATACATACAAATACATACACACATACTTACATATAAATATATACATACATATGTATTATGGGTGTATGGGTAGTCTACCATCATCCAGTTCCAAAATGGGGGGAAATGTTTTTTTATTGAAAAAAATGGTAAAATAAGATCTTTTGTTGGTATTACCGACTTACTATAATAACAAGTAATTTTTAGCAAAAAAAAAAACCGACTTCAACTCCCATATAAAAAAAAATATATATATATATATCTCATGATCCACTGATCAGATCTCAACCAGATTAGTATGGGACCACCTCTGAGACACTACCTTTCCGATGCAAAAAGAATTATCGGTTGACGTGGTCCAAAGTTATGCGGTAACATACATAAAAAAAAAATAAAAAAAATAAAAATATATATTCCGACGAACTGATAACCTCCTCCTTTTTTAGAAGTCGGTTAAAAACATGTACATACGTCTAATTAAAGGAATGGACCACCGGTCAGTTCAACCCATGTAGTAAAAGCATGTATGTACATAGCGCTCATTAACTTCAACAGTGTCATAACTCGAAAAAGCTGAACTCGAGAAAAGATCATTAAATTTACACATACTCCCATACTTAAAATTAGTACGTACTCGGCGTGATTCACTGCGTCTTAAACTTATTTTTGTGCTGTGTACCCGTATTGCAATACTTCGTTTATTTTATCAATTTAATTGATTGACATTTTTCAAACAGGTGGCAACCCTAACTCTCTTCAGTTTGATACCCGTATTCCAATATTAAATTTATCTTATCAATTAAATTAGATTACAATTTTCAAACAATTATCAATTTACTTTAACTGCAACTTTCAAGCATACATACAAACAGACAAAAATTCTAAAGGCAGTGTCACACGATTGGTACATTTGCAATTTTTTTTACAAAATAAAAAAAATGACACGACAATTTTTTCTTAGTCACACGATTGGTACAATACAGCGAACTAGGGATGGCTTATAGAATAAAATAATCGATTAATTAATCATATGATTGCTCACAAGCCAAAAAAATTAATTGCAATTAATTGAATTTATTGATAAATAACCTATTAATCGAATTTTTAAAGGCACTTTTTACAGTGAGTATTCACAAAAGCACTTTTCCATAAAAAAAATTCGAATTCTCTTGTTAATTAGCCTTAAATAATATAAAACAAGTATTTTTAGCGGCGATAATTATTTATTATATAACCAAGTTTGCACAAACAACAGTTTGATAAGCGTTTTGTTGTTAAGCGGTTAGCGTGCCAGTATTTTTACGAAAGTCCTGAAAGTTTTCATTTCCTCCCAAGCGTCGATGATATTCCGCTTTCATTCTTGGACTTGACAATTTAAACCAAAACTCATTTCATCTTCTGGGTGACCCACATCATCATAAAAAAAAAAGTTCGTAGGATGGATTTTAGACAATTGCAGAATTCATATTTCTTGAAAATATTTTTACAATTATTTTACAATTAATCGATTAATACAATTTAATCGTAAATTGGACCATAATAATCGTCGCTGTCATCCCTAAAGCGAACTTTTATCGAAAAATTTGAACAAATTGTTCTTCGGGATAAAGAAAAATATTTGTGGATTCACACGATTGGCATACATTTTCCACCAAATTTTGGGCAAATGTCCAATCGTGTGACACTGCCTTAAAAATTGTTGATTTTTGCTTTAATTGAGACCACCCATATTAATTTCTAATTAAAATCTATAATGTACAGAGATCGGCCTGTTACAATTTTATTATATGTATGTATGTATAGACTAGAGTTACTCGGCCACGCCTAGCTGTGGGTCAGTAACACTTCAATGGAAATATGTGTGAATATCAGAGTTGAACGTACATACATACCCTGCAGGGAAACCGCGGACTGGTGAATCAAATTTCTAGTTCCGTACTAGGTCTTCATCGCCAAAAAGGAACTAGTCCGATAGGAACTAGATCCCCACCAGTCCAAAATCGGCGAAAAGTGGTACTTTTAAGAACCAAATTTTTTCAGTTTTTTTCACTAGAAATCTATATCTAAAGTGACGAATTTAGAAATGGTTCGGAACTATAGAAAAAGGGATGCAGAACGAACTAGATCCTATTTGTCGAATTTAGAACTATTTCGGAACTATCGAATAAGGGATGCAGCGGGGGGCTTGTTTACTTTACATAGATATGTGTTCGGCGGCTTTTTCGTTCAAATACGCTTCTATTCTGTGCTTCGCAGATGCTATTTCATAGTTTGGTAATACAAAACAAAGCTTTGTGTTAACATGTTAACATCTTGGGGCCGTCAGGAATCTAACCAATACTACAGCTACAGCCAAAGGTATGTAAACGTACATTTCTTACAATCATTCAAACAAATTTAATTTCAAATTTGAAAAAATGTTTCTTTGAAAATAATGTAAAATCGCACACGGAAGAACCGAAAAGATTGAAATATCATAATACTTTTTCTTTCGTCTGTCGATTTTAGAACTGGTTCGGAACTATAGAATTTAGGACTAGTCCGGAACTATCGAAAAAGGGATGCAGCGGGGGGCAATTGACACTTCCTAGGACATCGCCATGTTAAATTCGCCAGTTGCTTGCATGCAAAAGAGATTTATCGCGAACCAGTACTGGTTCTAAATGTACTATAAGCGCCCCAGTTCAGAACTAGAGATTTTCCCAACAGGGTATGTACATATGTAGTATATGTTTCTTTTTGAATTGTACATCTATCCACAGGACGTTCATTTTCAGTCACTTTCGAATGTACTTTGGTCATACAAATACGACTTCTATCATTTTCGATCGCTTGTGTTTGTGGGTTCATCTAAGGTAGCTCGTCGCTCATTTTATTAACTTCGCCGACCGAAGTCAGCATATCATTTTCCTGGTATTGTAATGAAAATTGTAAAATATTACAGAACCGAGGAATCAAGGCATTTTTAAAAACCCTTCTCCTGATATTTTAATATTGTTTTACGTTTTTATTATTTCTTACGTTTGTATGAGTAGCTTTTTTCAATATTTTTCGTTTTGTTAATATTTCAAAATTTATATTTTATTACACTACTCAAACTCTTAGTATAAAAATTTTAAATTTTACGTTTTTATTATTTCTTACGTTTGTATGAGTAGCTTTTTTCAATATTTTTCGTTTTGTTAATATTTCAAAATTTATATTTTATTACACTACTCAAACTCTCAGTATAAAAATTAATATCAGTGGCAACACTTCTTATAAATATCTGGATTAAAGAATGTGTACATTTTTTTCATTTTACTAAAGCTTTTTCAAACACCTTTCGTTTGGTATCCAGCTCATAATATCTCATTTAATTGTAAATTTTTGGGCTTAACTTTTTAGATTGGCGATAACGCTAATGAAAACTGTTTTTAAATCGAAGATCTCTTAAATAATCTCGTTTGGTACTAAAATTGTAATATTTCATTTATATTACCAATTAAATTGAATACAATTTTTCAATCAGGTGGCAATCCACTTTAAAAATATTTTTCAAACTAAGCTTTCTGCAATAACCTCACTTTAACACATTTATTAAACACTTCATTTATGAAACAGATGGCAACACTCTTCAATTTTTTTTTGGAAATCGAGCTTTTTTAAGTCTCTCTTGTTTTATACCCGTATTGTAATATAGTGTTTATCTTCTCAATTCAATGGAATTAAAATTTTAAAAAATGTGGCAACCCTATTCCAAAATATTTTCCCTTAAGCATTCTTAAACCTCATTAATTCTATATACAATATTGTAATAAATAGTGTTTATTTTTTTTTATAAATTTGATTAATCGAAATTTTTCAAGCAGGTGGCAACTCTCTATTTCTACTTGTTGTTGCCTCTTTGTGGACCTTCTCTTTGTTATTTGTTAAAAGTGTTACATCACTTTTGCCACTTTACTTTGTATATAAGATTGTATGACCAAAAATATACATCTATCAAAAAACATACATATGCATGCATACCCAAGGATATTTTAGTATGTAATATGACAGTATTTCTTAAACGAATTAATTTAATGTTTTCCATACTTTGACACTAAAAGGCAGGACAACAGCAGGATGGAAGCATAGCGCAAGGTGCATAAAGATACTTTTGTTTGTCCACTTTGATGGCTTACAAATGAATTTACTAAAGAAACAAACACATAAACACAAACACATGTACATATGTATATGTATGGTTGATGTGAATATAAAATCATTTTCCGCCACTACTCGTACTGCTTACACTTCTAATCAACGAGAAATGCAAACAAAAACAAGAAGGATGGATGGATGCGACATCAGCGACTAACAACATCAACTCCTTTTGCTTGCTGTTGCAACCTTAGTATACTTCTCAGGAAATCCTTCCAAGGAGTTTGCAGCAGACATATAAAGTAAAGTGTTTTTGCATTCAGGCGGCTTAAGTGTGTCCTTGTGATGTATTAAACATATATATGTATGTGTATACATTTATACTTGTATACAGGGGCGCACCCAGGAATATATTTTAGGGGGGGTTTTATATTTCTGAAGATATATCACCGGAAAATACTGAAAATTTGCTTCAGATAATACCCTCTTTAAAATACATTTATGCAAGTTTTATGTACAGTATGTAATAAATAAATAAACGTTTTAAAATTCTTAAACTGCACTTTATTTACAGATTAACAGAACTCAAACGCTTTTAACC